CCGCATTAATAGTTACTTCAAAAATTCAATGCAATCATTTGTAATAATTAAAAATGTATTTTTTTTTTTAATGTCGTTAGATAATTTTGTATAATATTTCAATTTCATAATGAACTGCGAACACAATGCGCTTTTATGCAATGCGATGTATTAAAAAAAAAAATACACATCCCCATGCTTATGTTTTTCTTTTCATTTTTCTTTTCTATCAGTACTTGGTATTTGTTCAATTATAGCATTTTATTTGAATTCAATAATTCGTATTTATTTGAATTAACACAAAATATTGAATCGTTAAGCTGAATAAAATGTGTTCTCTCTCTTTCTCTTTCTCTTCATAACTAAAACTCGTCAACAACTGGGTCATAGCGTTATTTCGAGACACCCGACGTTAGAAAATATATCTTTCTTCACGTCTCCTCTTCTTGTCGTGTTAAAAACTTTACTCCAATCGAAGCAAAAAGAATATGAAAAATAATAGTAAAAAAAAAAAAAGAAAAACAAATACAAATACACGAAATTGTTGACTAACCAACTACCACCCCCCTATTTCTAAATAAAGAAACAGGAAGGAAGAAGGGTAGTACTAATTATCTGATACCCACGTTCCACCAATGGTGGTGGTGGTGGTGGTGGTGGTGGTGGTGGTGGTGGTGGTGGTGGTGGTGTTCTACTTTCGACCATCATCTTCCCATCTATCCTTTCTTCCTTCCATTCTTTCATTCCTTTTCACCGTGCATATTTTTCTGCGCACACATAACGAATCCCAATTCCCATCGCAATTAAGCATGGTGTGCAGTACAGTAGCAGTAACAGTAGTAGTAGTATAAACCCTCCTCGAATATTTTCGTTTACGTTGCACACCAGCAACCCCCTAAACGTTTGAAAAGCATTGCTGTTACTGCTGCTACTGCAACATCCGTAAACTATGGTGGTGGTGGTGGTGGTGGTGTTTCGTTAGAAGTCCTCCCCAAAAACAAAACGTACTAAACGAAAGAAAAAGAGAATGAGAATTAGAAAGAAAAAAGGGAATACAGTTTAAACTAAGCAGAGAATAGAAACACCATAAGAGTAACAAGGAAGAATAATAGGTACGAGTGTATGACTGAGTGAAAAAGAATGAGAGAGAGAAAATGAATGAAAGAAAGAAAGAGAAAGTGTCGAAAAAAAGTGAGAAAGAAAAGGAGTGGGGGATAGAGGGGGGGGGAGTATAGTTGGTGATATGTCTTAGGCTACTACATCAAAAGCTCTTCCACGGTGGTGAGCTGGCTGCTGTGGTCAGGTTCCTCCTTGTTCTATTCCACCCCTGTATTCATAGCTTGGAAAGAATCGCCCTCTCTTTTCCTCTATCTTTTACACACACACACAAACACACATATCCAACTAACATGAAACATACATGCTACTACACTCAAGAAACATGTTACACATCCAAGAACGTTGAACACACGTGCGCAAACGCAGGCAAATTCAGAGAACGAGCAGCGCACGCACTTACACACTTGCAATCATCAATTTCTCTCAGTGATAGGAGGAGGAGGAGGAGGAGGTCCGTTTCGTTCGGCTTTAGGTAAAAATAGCGGCTTTCGTTAAAGGTGAACGAACGAAATGATGGCGAAAGTTTACACGTGCGTGCAAGCGAGAAAACCGTCTGGTTAAATCTCGTGTAAGATTTAGAGGAGGTTTCGGTATTAGAAAAGGAACGAATAACAGTAGCAAGAGACGGAGGAGGAAGAGGAAGAGGAGGTGGAGGAAGAGGAGGAGGAGGAAGAGGAAGGATGTTGTAATAGTAGTAGTAGTAGTAATGGTGGTGGTGGTGGTGTAGAAGGAAAGGGTTGGGACGAGCTTGCGGGTTACGACATTCATCGTCGTGGAGGTGGAAATTCTCCTCCTCCGAGTTGGCGCGCTTGTATCCTACCAAGAGGGAAAAGAGGGTTGAGAGGGATGGGAGGAGACGATATCTGGGCAACCCCTACTCGTTTCAGCTTCCCTTCTATCTCCTCCTTCGTTTTCTTCCATACCTCTCACTCTCACTCACTCTCGTAGTCAGTCTAGGCTCCCACCAAGCAAGCAATGCCGCCGAAAATTCCCAAAAGCACGCGAAACAAAGGCTTCCTCTCCTCTCTCTCTCTCTCTCTCTCTCTCTCTCTCTCTCTCTCTCTCTTCTCTCTCTTTCTCTTCTCTTCTCTCTTTCTCTCTAATCAACAGACGACTCTCTCGTAGCACGTGTCCGCGCGGCAAAGTTCGCTTCGACGAACAAACCCTTGATGGTGGTGGTGGTAGTTATGGTGGTGGTGGTGGTAGTTGGCAAGGCCCACACCACCACCATCATCACTGCCGCCGTTCTTTTTCTACGGTGCGGTAGACACGAATTTTTTTGTCCTGTTGCGCCCATCTTGCGTTAGTTTCTCTTGTATTTCTGTTGCATTACTCGACACGATATTTTTCTCTAGTTGTTGTTGTTGTTGTAATACTTCTGGTGCATTAACCAAACTCTCCACCCTCCCCGCGTGATGCATTTGGTATTTCGGTGGTGCGTGTTATTGGTATCTCTCTCGATGAAATATTTTTGGCACTACCAGAACCAGCCCCCACTCTTCCAACCTCCTCCCATTATTGTAAAGTGTATATCATCGTCATTAGCCGTGTCTAGTCTCTGGTTCTAGTCTCTTCTTTTTTCTTTTTTTTTTTTTTAATCTATTATATCCGTCTACTACCCTTTAAAGAGAGTTTTTCTCCTCTTACTCGCGAGTCTCTTGGCCCCGGCATTTAGCGAACTCTGCGAATTTTGTTCGATGCACTCGATGCACTCTTCGGGGGTGGTGGGTGGGAAGGAGTTGGGGGGTAGGTGTACTTCTATCCAATTTCCAGGGGAGGGAGAGAAAGAGAGAGTGGCACCCAACAACTTCAATTTTTTTCTCTTATTTTCTTTCTTTCTTTTCTTTTTTTTTTTTTTTTTTTTTTTTTTTTTTTTCGAACGAAAAACTTTGGATCTTTCGGCCTTCTCTCTCTTTTCGTATCTTCTACTTTCTCACTATCTTTTTCTCTCTCTCT